ACTGTCTGATGCCTATTGGGGTCCAACGAAGAAAAAGTGTTTCACCCCTCATCCTGACATAAATGATCTCGACTTCAATAGTACCATAAAGCAAGACCTTTCATCGCCTGTATCCTCTCTTCTCCACCAAAACCATTCGCAACCAACGTAGTAAACCACGCCATAAGCTATTTACCCCTAGACAAACTCCTGGTTTTGACTTAATCACTGCAAATATCACCACCTACCTAAAAAGCCGTCAATTCCCTCCTTAGAACGTACATCCCAACCTGAATGGAAATTTTCTCTCTTTCGGATAATATCAAAGCCAAAAAACCTTCCATCGTCCTACCGACCATAGCCTATAATTGGTAAAATCATAGGAAAACTACTTGAACATATTCTCTCCATCATTAATCACACAACCATATTCCTCAATACCAGTTTGTGTACATACACCCTCATCCCTCTATTTATCAGTGCCAAAAGTATTTGAAGCTGGTTTGGAAGCTTAAAAGATTCTTTCTTTTTGCTTGCTACTCACCCTAAATCCTTAACCGACAGATACTTTCAACTCGCACAGAGGGTGCTCCAAGGTAGTATCTTATAACACATTCTTTACGCAATATACACCACAGATATTCGTCATCTTTCTGAAACTAACCTTACCGGATCATACCATACCGCTATCCTTTGTCCTCATACATCCCGTCATCTCAATCAGAAACCCCTGTCACATAACTTGAGCAATTTATTCAAGTGGTAGAAAATAACAAGGTAAAAATATGTGAACACTTTTACTCTACCAAGGATAACCACTGCTATCATTTATTACAATACTATCCCTGTTCCAGAAAAAATGTAATCCGCTACCAGTGGTATTGATGAAGGACTTATCAACAGTTGCTTCAGACTTCTAAAAATACTGCTAAGCAAACGCGCATTTATATCACCCATTTGGGCATACGGCATCGAACGTGGAGTTTAACCATCCAAAATCTACCGAACCACAGCCGTTGCATCTTTCTATGTATCCAAATTTTCAATTCTTTGCAATCTTAATAACCAATAGGTCCTTGAAGGGACAGAACATAGCTGTCAGTAACCTTTTACCCCGCATCGTTCTTCTTCGAGGTTAGAAGTAGTATTGGCCTCGCGACCTCATAAGTGAGAGTGATTAAAGCCAAAGTACAGGTGAATACCATTGAGCACTTTCTCCTTTAAACACACACACATACACGTGAAATTGTATCATTATCTAACGAAAGGTAGTCAGTAGAATAGTAAAACCAGACAGGACGCTAGTAATTTGACACCCTGTGTAGCAAAACATTTATTCTCCCTATATTAATTCCATGTCCATACTAATTAGGCTTTATTTTTCATTGCGTTACTTCATAGATAGATTATAGTAACCAGATCTTATCTTGGCTGATCTAAAGATGTCTATTAATATCAAATTTGATTTAGTACGCTTATTTTTTTAAGTTGAAGAATTTTAATGCAGTGAAAACAATTACTTTTTAATAGTAATTTAAATTCATCGACCTTCAACGATGCCTTTAAGATTTTCGAAGAACACTTTCGGTTTGTTATATAATTAATATTCCATTAGAACATGGGAATGAGTCGTAAAGGAACAATCGGTTTTTTCACTAATTGGGAACTATTGAAATCCTCTCGAGTTTTGAATAATTCATGATAAAACCTACTGTTTCAAAATTCGAAATGAAACATCACACTGGGACGTACGCCCTGTTCTTCGTGTGTGTAAATTCAGGCATGAATCTTACACGCTAATCGTATGTAAACAGGTTTTTTGGATGCTGTGTTCAATTGTCGGACAAATATCACTTTCTAAATGCTGGACAAAACGGTTTTTAGTATGTAAATCGAACGTGAAACTACTAATAAAACAATATAAATGGAAATGGTTATTGCCCGAAAACGAAGGAAAAAAACAACTCCCTTGTAGCCCTGGTAATTATTTTACTAGAAAGGACTAGTAGAAATTTAGATTTTAATAATATCCAATTCATTGGTTTTCGTGGTCCGGTTGACCAATTAATTAAGGTTTTTAGTTGAGATAAACAAGTCAATGTCACGAGCGGGATTCGAACCCACGACCTTCGGCTAGATACGCCGCTACACTACCACCTGAGCCATCGTGACTTCAAGGTCATGGGTTCGAATCCCGCTCGTGACATTGACTTTTTTTATTTCAACTAAAAACCTTAATTAATTTTAATAATATCGTTCACCTTTAAATTAATGTATTTTTTATTTCCAAAAAGAAAAATTATTATTTCATCATAATGTATACCAACGTTTTAACATAGTTGAACCATGTAGCGGACATAGTTTTTATAAAACAACCTTATTTAACAAGTACTGAAAAAATTGTTTAATAATAAAACAAGCAAAAATTAATGATTTTTCATGAAAGGGCCCCAATTAGCATTGTCTGAGTTGTAGGAAAATAAACGCAACGTTTGTTTCATCTCCGGATCGATTTTTAAATCAATGATGAGTCAGTGATCTCCAGACTGATTCAATTGTCCCAGCTTCCACTAGGCACCACATAATCATTAATTAGTTTAGTTCCAGAGCCAGAAAGGTCTTTAAACTTTCAAGTTCAAAAGCCGCAACGTCTCGCTCGAAAGCATGACGCGTAGGTGGTTGCCTTTTTTGGAAAAGCTCTACTTTATTCGGTTCTAAAAGGAGCGACTAGAAAATCACAAGTGTTGGTCATTTGTGTAAAAATGTCTTAACGTACATGGATAATAAGATTTGACAAGGGAAAAACAGACTGATGACAAGAACTGAATCTTTTCTACTCTTTCTAAGCGTTTTCACTTAAAACTAATTTCATTATTATTATTATTATTTATTATTATTATTACTAAATAGCATTCTTATGCTTTATGTCTCCTGTATAAAATGTATAGTTAATTACATTTATTAGGTTTCGTGGTCCGCTTGACCAAATAAATTATTTTCAATTAATTAAGGTTTTGGTTGGGGGCCGCGGTTGCCGAGTGGTTAGCGTGACAGACTCTCGGCTCGTAGACCCCGCGGTCGTGGGTTCAATTCCCGTCGTCGTCTCTGGCCATTTTATCCCCCCTAAAACGAATACGCGATAACAATACGATAACATTGTCTGTCATTGATTATTATGCATAGAACATGATACGTAACATAGAATATAGAAAAAAAAGGTTTTGGTTGGGATAAAAAAGTCATTGTCACAAGTGGGATTCGAACCCACTAACTTCGGCTAAATACGCCGCTGCTCCACCACTTGAGTTATCATGGCTTCGATCTACTCGGACACTAACCTCCCATCTCAACCCCACCTTTTGAATTTTCCCTCTTTTTTGAAAATGCAGTGAAGGAAAATGTGACTATATCACCAGTTTCCCTGGGGAAAGAAATATTCTAAAAAAATATAGTTTGGCAATTGACTTCATTAGAAAAATATCTTGTTAGAAATTTAATATCGCTTACCGAAAATGGAAACAAGAAATTTTCATGTTTTTTTATTGAGTTCAACATTAATCGACCCAGCTGGAGCAGCTGGAAGATGAGTAAGTTTAGTAGTTTTAGTTTAGCAGAACCTTTTTCCACAGTGTGGCACCTGCTAACAGATGTCAATGAGCAATTAAAACGTCTGGTTAATCCAATTCACGTCAAAGGGTTAGAGAACTTGCTGCCTAATTGTCTCGACTTGTTTTACAAATGAGTGCAATGTACTTCGTATATACGTTTTGTTGTCTATTTTATTTTCACTTATTGTTTACGTAGAAAGGGATTGGCTAGTGCTTAATTGTTTGGCCAAACTATTTAAAAAAAGCACTAAAAAATTATTTGAAGATAAAAAAAAATATTTTAATGCACGGAGCTGCCAATAATTCATGATGATTCAGACGCGTGTAAAAGTCAAAGTTTCGTAATGAAATGATCGCGGCAATAAATAACAGTTCAAGTAAATCTAGAGACGGATTAACTGTCGTTTGAAAGTTATGCGCTCAAGTTGAAGATATCGATTAACCTGTGCTTCGGACTTAACCTCGCACGAAGCCAGGCAGCGTCTAATTACAGTTACGCATCGGATGTTCCGACTCAAAGATCCCATAAGTCCTCGGAGTAAAGAACGAGGAAGTGAACCGGTCGTTAGCCAGTCCGCGCTCGTCCGAAATCAATAATCGATGTATGCCTTAAACCGGGCATCGATTAATCAATGAGATAGTTGGGACGTCCGGAACCCGATAAATAAGAAGGTTCGTGACGACGTATATTAGAGATGACCTCAGATGAAGCACAGGGGGCTTAGGGCCTTTCCACGTGCCCCGTTTCGAATTCCAACACACGTGGGATTTTCCCCCTCAAAGACTTATCCGTTCAAATACAGAGTCGTTTATCACTTTTCTAAACCGTTTTTGGAAGAGTAGAACAAGATTTCGAAACGTCATTATGCTAGATTTGACTTCTCATGGCCGAAACGAAAAAAAAAATCCCATGCCCAAATACAGCGCAAAAACTACCTTCTAATTTAAACCGCAACATTTCATAAAGCATTTAAATAACAGTATAATCCATAGTCTTTAACTATTAAGAAAAAAAGACTTACTAAAGTCAATTTGACCAATTCGATAGTGAAATAGTTTTCCATAATAAGCGTCCTAAAGCAGCTTTAAACAAGTAAAAAAATTGTTTATGGCTTAGTTTCCGATTATTTTGGTTATTTAGAAGCGATTTAACTTGAAGCAGTCTTCATTGGTTGATTTATATTCTTTTTTCCCACTTCCTTCAATTCTCAAGCGTCTGACAGACCATAAAATGGAGGATAATTATACCAAAATGATCAGAAACAATCAAGTTCCTGTGTATCTGAAGAAAAAATTTCGAGATTGATTCAAGTTTTTAAAAGAACAACTGTGTGTTTAAAAAACTAAAATTCTACAAATTTAGAGTAGTTTTAACCAAAATAGAACTGTCTTTACTCATTATAAAAATTTTAGGTGCTTCGAATGGAGGATTTTCGAGGAGAAAACGTTCCTTGTCCAAAGAATATTATGTTGAGCTCATGGTGGTTGCAGACAGGGAGATGGTTAATTACCACGGATCAGCGGTTGAATCTTATATCTTAAATTTAATGTCTATTGTAAGTATATTTCATAATAAATCGAATCTTAGTTAAATTTTGTTTCTGATCGACGATAATTTCGATTTATTGTCGTCAATTTGTAATGAATTTTCATTTCTTCTTCTCAGGCTGCGATGATATTCAAAGATGCCAGCATCGGGAATCACGTGTCGATAGCGGTTGTCAAACTTGTCAACCTCAAAGAAATGGACTTTTCAAAGAGGCTACCCCACGAAAACGGCATCTCGGCGTCGACTATGCTCAGGAATTTCTGCGAATGGCAGAGTAATCACAACTCCCCCGATGACAACTCAGCTAGGCACCACGATTCTGCTCTCCTTTTGACGAGGTAAGAAATTTAATTATTTTAACTACATATTTTTCTTTAACAGGATAATAAAAAAACGTTGAATATAAATATTTGTACTATTAATAAGCCTTTATTGTCAACAAAATACATAAAATACAACGTCACAAACATAAATGAAAAGTTTTAAGAAGACAGATCAACGTTCATTATGGAAATCTACTTGTTCTTACTATTGAAATAAAGCTACAAATTAATCAAAAATATTAGTGGTATTCACGATGTTTGTAAGATGTTAACTCGTGTTAACTTGAATAGACAAATGTCCATAAGATTCTTAGCATGTTAAACGGTTTAAAAAATTCATTCATGCTTAGTGATTATATCGTCAATAACTCATCTCATGACGAAATGGATGAATTGAAAATAATTATTGAGTAAAAAATTGAAAATTAATTTTTTTACGAGGGTTCGCAACAGCAGAGGTTATATCAACCTTCGGGGTGCCGGTGTTTTTTTAAAAAAAAGTCCATTTGTAAGTAAGTCGGAAGCGAATTCTGCCTCTGAATTCGAACCCGGGACCTTTACATTACAGTGAAGGGCGCCGTGTCAACGCCTAAACAGTTTCGGCCACCGACGCCCCTGAAATATTCCAGAAATATTTATTGAAATGGGCTTTCTGTACAATATAAAAAATTTTAACGTAACATTCCTTGTTAAAGTAAGCAATTTAAGACAGGCTTTCTGACAAAAATTTCTTCAATGTTTATCATGACAATAATAAACGCTGAAAATACGTCAATGCATATGTATAGTAAGTTTTCAAATGCTGGATAATTAAACAAAATAATTCTACATCGCGGTCAATAATTGATATAAAATAGCATTACATAAGAAAAATTATTTAAAAATTCCCATCTCTGAATTTTTGTGATATTTTTCCGTGTTGTCTGCGAAGTGATGAAAACATGATAACAGGGCGAAAACTAGAATTCCGCCTAATGTATAGGGTTAAGTATTTCTCCAATCGAATTTTTTTTAGAGAAACTTTGACAATTCTTCAAACATTTACAGGTTTGAAATTTATGGAGATCTTGCTTGGTTGGTTGTGTTTAATTATTGTTGATGTGTACAAGAAACCTCTCATCAGTATAAAAGAGGAATAATCGTGTTGTACATAATGTTTGTTTAGCCGCCATTGTTTTTTCAGAAAGGGTTATGATACTTATGATTCTTTACTTCAAAATGCGCAATTCCCTAGTTCGAATAAAATGTAACGAATAATGTATCACTTTCCCTTTATACCCTGTCAAAATTTATTTTAAAAAAGAAAGGGTATTCACGATGTATTAGGTATTAACTCGTGTTAACTCGAATAGAGAAATGTCCAATAAGATCGTGAACGCCCCCTTCTTTTCTTAGCATGTTAAACGTAATTTTGCCGCAATGCTGCGTGTGGCGATTGGTAAAACCAAAAATAAAGCTATAACAGTCCTTCAAAGCTTGTTTGTTTTGGCTTCCTTTTGTGTTAAATTGTAAGATGCCAGAAGTTAATAAGAAAGGAAAATTAATCAACTCTTTCATTCAAAATGCTACATATGCACTCGAAAAGTACTAACAAATGACACGCTTTAGTTCTTGCCGACATACTTAACTTGTATCCTAATGTCTAACAGCCTACAACTTTATAGGATAGGGATTGTATTTATTATGAATGAGAAGGACAGGTCAGAAATTAACAAAAAAATTTTGTTTGAAAAACAAAGAACAGCTGTTAAATTCACGGCGGCCATGTTGGTTACCTAAGCCCTAACGGATGGCAATGTGACTACATTTTCGACCTAACATCTAACCTTAGCTCTGGCCTGTTAGATCGAGCAGTGTTACCTAGCCGATTCTTACAAGTCTACGTCATCAATCTTCTCGATCTAACAAGACCTAACAGACTTAACAGGGTTAACACAAAGATCGTGAATATTCCTACTATTGATAAAGATACTTAGCAGTAAATAGAACAATGTGGTGGCTAAAAACTCTGGAAAAGAACACATTAAATTACAAATATTGGTATGTCTTAGCATCACAGTACATAGTTGCCCAACTAGCTCTGGAATTGCCACCGTTCATATATCCAACCAGAAAATGGTACATGAAAGTGAAAACAGCTCTTTGTACAAAACGAAATAAAGCCGTTAACAAACTCTACCAGATAAATTGTAAACAAGAGATGTTCGGTCAAATAAAGAACTTTATATTAGCCGAGAAGTCCGTGATACATAAATGAATCCATAATGGAAAATTATTAGGGCCGGGGTTAAAGGCCCAAATTTGTACCTAGCAGAACCTCTAGGTTCGCCATTATCAGTTCCCCAGGCTGAAATTCATGCACAGATATATATAATATTCTGCCTTGCCAATCAGCACTGAACGCTTTAGACTCCACCTTTCATTCAAAGCTGGTCTGGGAATGTCCAACGTATTTCCTGCTTCTGGGAAAACAAAATTGGATTGTTGAGGTTGTCAGGAGACGAAAGGTATGAGGGCAACTAACAGGACAAACTAGTAAAAACAGAAGTCTATACCTTTTGGAAAAAATCTGAAATTAGCACGCTAAAAGCTGAAATAAACAAACTGATTATGATAGAAATTACCAAATATTGGTTCATCTAATGTCTGACAATACGGCGTTGTAAGAGAAGTCTGCATAAGAAATAGTCAAAAAGGCGCAAAAGGTGAAAAAGGATTGTGGATTCTCAGACAGCCAAGTAGGACTGAAGGCTTTAGACTCCTCTACTTTTAACTCAAATTTATTAGGTTTCGAGGTCCACTTGTCCAAATAAATTCTTTCCAATTAATTAAGGTTTTTTGGTTGAGATTAAAGAGTATATCTCAAGTTTATCTCAACCAAAAAAACCTTAATTAATTGAAAAGAATTTATTTGGTCAAGCGGACCACGAAAGTTAATAAACGTAATGAGCAAAATGAAGTATACTTCACTAAAGCTCTCCGTGGCCATTTCATTTGTCGCCGAGAACCAAATAGATTGCACGCCATTTGAAAAATGGCAAAAAGGAGGGAAAAGTCAAAAGGTGGGGTTGAGATGGGAAGTTAGTGTCCGAGTGGATCGAGGTTCGAATCCCGCTTGTGACACTGACTTTTTTATCTCAACCAAAAAACCTTAATTAATTGAAAAGATTTTAATTCAAAGCTTGTCTGGAGACTCAAACGCTTTGGAAAATTTTAAAAACAGAAAGGCATTTAATTACGACCTTATAAAAAGGGACAAACTGTGAAACCTGCCGACTATGCCATGAAATAGCCGTAACATCGGAACATATATGAGACATGCGGACATAGCCATTCTAAAAGACGACGTAGGGAAATGAATGCAAAAGCAACAAGTGGATTTTGAGTAGGTAAAGGAAACCTCTCTTCTAAATTATTGACATTGCAGTATTTTCCATGTTGAGCGTAACCAATTACAAAAAGCAGTAGTCTCAAAGGCGCAAGATCGTGTTTCGAACCATGACCACCTTGTTTATAACATGCGCATAAATTGTCTAAGCATTGAATTAAATTTGCACGCGAGTGAAATTACCGGTCTATAATGGTTTCAGAACTGTAATAATCTGATATATATACATGCGAATGGAACAGTAAAGAAAAGATTTCCTGACTCGCGAATTATGTTATTAAGCCATAAAGGCATTTTGCGCCATGGTTAAAGTGTACAGTTTTGCATTTGGACTTTCTTGAATTATTTTATGGGATAAAGTTGTCTAATAGATTTAAGTTGTATAAAACAAAAATAACGACATGGACATAAAAATTTTCAAGTGGCTTAAAACTATTTTCTAATTTGCTAATATGTTATTTTAACATTCACTTCTATTTTGTTTATATGAACGAATAATTTTTTTTATGGCGGACTGAAAGATCGATTATTTGGTTTAATGCGTATCCTTTCAAAATATCAAATTTTCGTTTCCTTAAGTCGGAATGGACCTTGGAGTTAATGACAGAATGTGTTGTTCATCTAGGCGATTGTTCCTTTATCCCTCAACTGCCCAGTTGGCTTTCGAACGACGGAGATGCTTATCATCAAAGGAGAAATTATTTCAGTAATGTATGTGGTTTGAAGGAATAACTTGTAATCATAGACATAGTGTACACTGGCCCTATGGGAGTTTCGCTAGTATTCTAACATTAATCACCCTGGATTTCGGCCCCGTGAAGAAATTCGACAACGAAGAAAGTTTATAATGGCCTTTAACATTTACAACGGCTTGACGTTAGTTTGCTTGACGTGATTGATTGTAACTGATCGATCTCCTGGGAACTAGGCAAATCTCGATGGAAAAACACTAACACTCTTAATGTACGATTAATATTTTAGCCCGTATTAATTTTTTATCAAAAAATACAATAAACCTGAACCCAACGGTCTATAAATTTTTTTATTTTTTTCATTGCCTGTGTTTTGTTATTTTCACTCGTTCATAATGCTGACAATGTACAAACCAGCACTTTATTACTAAATGTAAGGATTAGTGTAGACATGGGAGTGTTGATCCACAAGTTTTTGTGGCAAATTTATAAACTACATGATTTGGGCCCATAATTTTTATTCATGGCTCTCGGTCAGTGTGTCTGCCTGTTCCAAGGTAAAGGTCATGGCATGCCAAGGATTTTATGCTTCTGCAGACACGTTTTGACTTCATATCTCATGAGGTTAAAGCTCTAAGTGCTGCCTGACTATGGCTATCTTCTTAGAGATGACTTCGAGCATTTTTCTTTTGGCGTAGTGTTCCGTTACAGAACTGTCCTACTGAAAAAGTGTTTCTAGCATACAGTCTCAGTTGTTTACTGGCTCGAGATTTTCATTGCCCGTAATCGAAACATCCTGGTGTGGTTCAACCACGTTTATAACATTATTTAATGTAGCATGTCCAGCTCGTCTCAACAGTAACAGGGTCCATACGAGGAAAATATTAATTTTAAATATTTATGTATGGAACGGCCCTAATCTTATGAAATACAAG